TAGCTAATCTAAATAATTATTTTTTCTTTATAGTTTACAAGAAAAATAACTTAAACAATATCCAAATTACTGAGCCAGCAAAACATATTTCTATTTTTCTCCTAACTGACTTTTCCAAATTCTGGATTATTCTTTACAAAACTCAAGTAATAACAGCAATCTATCACAAGTAAACATTGCTTTTATTAGATTCAAACAAGTAACAATCAACTCAAACTCCTCTTCATACCTATATACAACAGTATCACTAACAATTAATAATATGAAAAGCAATATCCAAAACAACTTCAATAACTTCTTTTTCTATCAAGAAAAGAATAATCTTGCTTCAAGTATAAAAAAGACCATTGTTAGAAAAGTATTAGACAATAATTTCAACTATATCTTTAATTTCTCTTGAAACTAAATTAATATAATAAACAGTATAACCAAATTCACTCTTGAGAAAATACAAGATGCATCTATCCATCCACCTTCCAATATACCAGTTTAGAATGAGGAGCCAAAAATTAAAGAATAATACTTTTCCATAAGTCTTAAAGGAAAAAGATCAATTTCAAATTTCAAAAAAAATTCCCAAATAGCTTACTTTTATTAATTAATTAACAGAATACAAATAATCCAATTTTGAATAAAATAGCAGCAATATACATATATTTCCTGTAGCTAAAGATGGGTCCCTAAAGTATTTAGCATATAAAATTTACGTCCCCTTACGTCCACGTCCCCTAGAGGACATAATTTCTAGTTCTTAATTTCAATAGGGACATAATTCCAGAAATGATTTGTATAGATGCTTAAAACTATAAAGAACCTTTGTAGGTAGTTTTTTTTTATTCCTTAATATAGAAATGAAAATTTTTAATAGTAAGGGACATTTGAATTATGTCCTCACAAATAATTTAGGGACCCATCTTTACCTGTAGCGTCAATTAATATGAACACATTACACATTAATAGTATTATAAAACAAATACCAATAGTATTCATAACACAGATAACATAATGCAAGTGAATAATTCTTATAATGCAATTATTACAAATAACTATTAGAACAAATCAGAAAGTACAATTAGATCCACTAGTCCTTGCTCAGATAATAATATGTCAATAGTATTATTGAAACACTCATCTGTTATAGGAAATATTAACTCTTAAATAGAATTTAATTGCCAAGTCTAAAAGGACTTGACTATTTTACAAAACAATACAGTTATAAGTCACATATCTTATCAAGAATCAGAACACATCCAGTATCTGGAAAATAGAACAAGAGTTTTATTAGAATGGTCAGATGAAGAGTCTAGCCTTGTTGGAGATCTCGAAAATTCCTCTAATCTTTTATCTATAGAAAATTCAAATGAAATTTCATATATAATAATATTTCCAAGCAACAAAGAAAAAAAACACTGAGATTCTAATAGAAAGTAATCCAACTTTTAACTATCCAATAGATAACTCCTTCACTAAAGATAGGTTCCTAAATTAAAGATAAAAATATAATTCAAATGTTTCTTACTATTAAAAAAGTTTTTTTTTAAATATAAGATCAAAAAAAAACTAGCTACTGTTGGACTCAATGGCAAGTCTGTTGCTAATCCAGACCAAGACTCGTGTAATGTTGGATAAGTGGATCTATATCACTGATGATACCAAAGGTACGTATAGTGATAATTATTCTAATCTTTCTTTATGTTCAGCTAGTCTTCTCTTCTAATCCTTTTCCTATTGAACTACAAGACCCTGGATTCTTCTTAAGGTGACTAAAGACAAATAAAATAAGTTTATTAATTATCATTGTACAAGTACAAACACTTGGCTTTTCAGTGAATAGTATTTTATTAATTTGTTCTCTCTCTTTTTTATATTTGGACATCATTGCTATATGACTGCGACATGTCTTTAAATCTATCGTCGTGTTATACAGAATTGCTAAACTTTGACAAGCTTTGTATCCATCAATTATGCATAATTGATGCATGATTGATGCCTCATGCAGTACTGTGCCAGGCCTTATATATCACATTATATCTCTTACTACAATTTTTATGCTAACACTACAAAGATTTTTTGCAATTTAGGCCACTTGATTCAAATGTTTTTTGAATTATGTCCCTATTAAAATAATAAATAAATAATTATATCTCTTCAAAAGGAACATAATTGATTTGCGAAATTTTATATATTAAATAATTTAGAGATCTATCTTTACCCTCTACCCCACAAACAATTAATATTAATAAATCCTTTATCAGTAAATATGATACAATTATTGACCTAGCATCTTAGCTACTTTTATATAGAATCAAAACTCAAGACATAACAGATCTATTTATTAAAATTAAAACTACTTCAAAAAGGCTAATTATACAAGAACTTCATTTTGCAATCTTTATGAAAATTCTTCTCAGAAATAAAACTTTTTTCAGATCATTTACAAAAAATAACCTACTGAAAGAAAATCACCAAAAAGAGTATGAAGCTCTAGAAACAAAAGTATATAACAATTACAAAAAAAACAATGACACAGGCTATATTAATAAAAGAATAAAAAGAAAAATAAGATGGATCCTTAACCCATTCCTTTTTGTAATGTGTTTAAAATTTATAGATCTAAACAAATTCAAATATTATGAAATAGTCCAGATACTTGAGTTTGAATGCAATTGTTTTTTAAAAAATAATGATATATTAGTAGATTATATTGAACTCCTAGACTTGATAAAAAAAATGCTCTACAAATTATTTTCAATATTGCTGAGTGAACCAGAAAGCATCCTTTCTAATATAATTATTAAGCTCCTATGCCTATTGTCAATCAAAAAAAGATCACTTCTCTCTCTAATAGTTTCAGTTCACCAAACATATTATCAATTTTTCCAATTTTCAGACTCTTTCTTCTTTAAATTTATTCTACTATCAAAGGAGCCAAAAGACTTAAATAATAAGATCAAGTATTCTTTCCTATTATTGAAAAAAAGAATTTCAAAAAACTATTAATAAGAATTAAAGAACTTGCTAAGTTTTACAAAATACCTTCAAAGCTTTCCAAAACCTTTTTTAACCTGCTTCTATCCAAAACCTATTGCCAGCATTATACAAATTGTTGCTTAAATATTTAGCAATATATTTTCTATATGATCCAATTACAATGGATACAAGAAAACTTATAGAAATTTTAAAAAAAGAGTATAGCCTTAGAGCTTTGCCACTTGACTTTTACAAATTTAAAAGACTACTTCCCTACTTATCCAATCTATTACTCAATAAACTTGATATGACAATTCCAATGAAAATCAAAAAAGATATAGAAACTCTTACCAAATACTTGCAAAAAGACTTCAAATTCAATTTGCCTCTGGGTTCTCAATGGGTTAATCCATTCATTTCACAAACAAATAAAGAAAAACTTCCTGCCAAATCACAAATATAGACAAGACTTTAAAAATCAAAGACTTTATTGACCACCACTTAAATAATTTTTTGCTTACAGTATGCAAGTTACATGAGAGATATGAGTTTTGCACTATTCCTGAGGATTGGTTTCAAGCTCTCAAACTGCCACTGCCATCTATGGAAAAGCTTAACAAAGTGTTTGGAGAAAACTTGTTCACTACTTGATTCTCTTTAAAAGATAATGAAAACTTGTCAATGATAATCATATAATTGCATAAAAAATATAACTTTGATAGACTATGTAACAATATTGACTGTGACTGCGCCATGGGACCCCTACTGTGCCCTGTGAACTAGATGTCCCAGAAGGTATCTGATCTGCCCCTGATGACCTGCAAGTCTGAAACACGTTCCCAGACAATTGTCAGATGCATATATTATGCAATTCTGATCCTTGATGATGTGACATGCCACCAAGTGCCACTAATTAGATTACTATGAGTTAATGTAACCAAATTAGGAGCATAAGGCTATAAAGTGTACATATCTTTTTTCTTTTATTTATTTTTATTTTCTTTTTGTTTCATTATGTTAATTAAGTACATATGTCTCTGGAGGTTAAGCCCAATATAGATATATGTATTTTTATATTTATTTATTTATGTATTTTTATGTTGTATAAAGCCGACATGTATAAAAGGATGCTCTTTTTGACCTTAATAAAGTTCCAATTCTGTTGGCATTTAAATTACAATCACTCAAGTTTACTGTCTTTTTTAATCACTAATAATTTATTCAAGACTTTTACAACTTGATAGCAGTGGATTCAAAGAACTTTTCCCTTGCAAAGAAGTCCCAAGTGAAACTCTGTTAAAATGGATATTATCCAATTTGCAATGTTTATGAAGACCTTCCAAGAAACCATGAAAGCTCTTGCAATAGAGAAGAGAAAACAACCTGCTGGATCAAGTTTTTCGACCACTACCACTGCTGTGCCTAGGATATCTTTGAGAATCCCTACATTCAAAGAAGAACCTGGGAAAAATGTGGAAGTCTGGCTGCACCAAACAAAGAATATTCTACACGCACAAGGAGTCAAAGAAGAAGGACAGATGGTTTATTATATTGCCACCAGATTCGAGGATACCACTCTCCATTGGTTTGTTAACAAAATCAAAGACTCCATTATTGCCACTTTTACTGGATAGGACCAGTTTAAGAAAGAACTCCAAATCACCTTCCAACCCCCACACTACCAACAACATTTGTGTCACCAACTTAAAAACCTGCTTTAAACAGGAACTATGCAGAAATACATCTTCCAATTTAGGAATCTGGTAAACCAAATTGATGATATGTATCAATTGGACTGAGTTGCCTATTTTGTAGAAGGACTGAAGCCTGCGACCAGAATAGAAGTAAGTTACAAATACTTGGAAACCCTTGACAAAGCTATCCAAATTGCAAGCCGATATAATACTGCCATGTTTGGCCTAGAACGACTGATGGAAAAATTTACTACTTGAGGATACCAATCCCAAGGAAGAGACCAACAATCCAAACCAACTCCAATGGAATTAGACTGTACTAAGACCTATAGGAAACTATCCATCAGTAGCCAATACCAGAAGAAACAAGTGAAATGCTACAATTGTGGGAAGATAGGCCACTACGCCTGAGACTGTCGATCAAAGAAGACTGAAACTAAGGTTAAAGTTACTGTAATCGAAGAACAATCCACTTTCCCAGATGCTAAGTTTATCCACATTGAAGAAAACTAAGAAACAACTACTCCATTTTAATGGGAAGATTGATGGACACCCCATGTGGATCCTATTGAATAGTAGTGTCTCCAAGAATTTTATTGACGAGAAATTTGTTAATTAATGATGACTAGGGTTCCGATTGGTACCATTCGGTACAATATTTTGTAAAATCGATACCGAAAATTTTTGATACGATACTTTAAAGTACTGATATTGAACCGAAGTATCGAAAATATAAATATTAATTAAAGTATTGTATAAAGTTTCAATTAATACTATTTTATATATCGTATATCATTAACACTATGATCCTAATTATTTTCTTTTCAAGGCTGAGAAAAAATACAGCCTTTTTATAATATTTTGATCAATTGTTGATCGCTCTACTATAATTATTTATGTGTATTCATTTATTTTGTACAAGAAATAACTAATGAATTTTTTTTTTATACTTGGAATGATTATCAAAAAAAATTCTTATCTGTAAGTCAAGAAGTGAAATTGCTCAAAATATTACTATAACAATCTCTTTTGATCCCTTAACAAATAATGTTTTTCTAGTCTTTCCGCAAATAGTTACTTATAACTACAAAAAGGCTTTACAACTTGAATTTCGAGCTATAATGTCCCGAATTCGTGACACCATTTAAAAATCTATAGGTATTTTGAGAATTCTTTTTACATTAATCATATAAAAATTGATCATTACTTTACATGATGACTGTATATATAATTTTTATCAACAAGATTCATTGATTGAAACCTAAAATACTATAAATAATGAATGGGAAAAAGAATTTATTGATTTAGTATATAAAAAAAATTACTGATATATATAATAATGAATATGCATCCAAACATGAAGAAAATGTTGATTTAGAAAACTATCAAGAAGATAATGAATTTATGATTCATATTTATCGATGAAAAAATATTGAAAAAGAAAATGAATTAAACCAATATTTAAAAACATCAGTTGTTTTAGAAAAAACAGATATTTTATAATGGTAGAAGGTAAATATTAAATTAAAATTTAATTTAATTATATTATTTATGTATATATATTAATTTTAATTTGTTTTATTTAGTCTAATGAATTCGAATATTCTCATTTATCAATAATGGCTAAAGACTATTTAGCTATTCCTGCTACAAGTGTACCAATTGAACGTATATTTTTTAGAGGTGTAGATTTAATAACTCTAACACGTAGCAAGTTGAATGCTAATATTATTAGAGCATGTATGTGTTTAAAAGAATGGTAGAAAAATATTCTTAATGATAAAAATTAAATAATTTTCTAATTAAAATAATTTTCTAATTAAAATAATATAAATTTTTTGAATAAGAAATAATAATAACTTTTTTTTTCATTTGAGTTATATAGATGGATTGGTTACGATTAAATTTACAAGTTAGTAGTAATATTAATATATATAGGATTATCTAGATGTATAAGTTAAAATATTAAAATTTAATAAAAACCTGACATTAAATGCCTGTTCATCTAAAAAAAAAAAATTATAAAAAAAATTATAATTTGATTTTTTTATTTTTTTTTGAAATTAAAGATTATTTATTTTTAATATAAATTTAATAAAAAAAATTATAAAGATATTAACTGAAATAATAAAATTTTTATTTTATTTTTAAATAATTATTTAATTATAATTATTAAATATAAATTTGATTTTTAAATTATTATTATTTTATATAATAAAAAAATATTTTATAGTAAAAATTTTAAAAATTTTAATTGATCTATGCATTTTAAAATATTTTAAAATATTTTAAAAATAGGTTAAAAAAAAAAAAGATTAATATTTAACAAATAATTTCTCCAATTTTTTCAAGTTTCTTAAACTTTTCTGTTTATCTTTTCAAACCTACCCATTAACCATCTATATTTCATATACTTTATTTGATATTTTTTATAATGGATCAATTAAACAAAACAAAAAATGTAATAAAAACTATATATATATATATATTTTACTTTTTAATATAAAATAAATATCGTTGACCTGTGGGTCTATAGCACAGTGATTAGTGCTCCACAGGTCAGATCACAAGATACCGGTTCAATTCCATGTGAAGGCAATTGAACAGAATCAATATGGTATCTGGCACCATAACCATCTATGTGCCGTTTCTTGTGAGAAGCCAGTTCACATGCCGATCCAGTGGGCGTCAAGATTGTGATCTTCAGATAAGGTGATGCAGTGTGACGATCATCCGGCTGGTGTTATGATGATCGTTTGAAGAAAGAAGACGAAAAAGGTAACAAGGTGTCCGCTTTTGAGTAAGATGGTTTGGTGATCATTTTCCCGTGGTACCTGGTGTCTCTTCCTGTCAAGATGGCTGCCTCTACAGAGTTCTATTCGCCACAATAGGTACTACCACCAGTTCCCCCTTTCACTTCCCTTTATAACATTCCTGGTTAGAAATAGAACACAGCATGCTAATACAGAAGTAGGGAATCTTGGTGGGATCGTCGATGTGGACACTAACGTGTGGTGTAAGTGTGTATGACTAATGATCTTAGTTGGTTAAAATTTTTCCAATCGATTAGTTGTTTTAATTATAATCAACTAGTTGCAATTAAAAATCCCTATACTCTGATTAGTTAATTCCAAACTTTTCAACTAACGATTTGTAACACTATGTACGACCATATCCCTATATGTAGAAGTTGCGCCCTGCTTGGCATTTATGTCCTTAGATTTGGCAGCTTAAGCCAACCGAGTTCCCTTGGAGTGTCTACTGAGAGATTTAGGAGCCCCCAGATTTGGTAGTGTGTGCCAACCAAGGATAGATTTCGGAGCATTTACTAGGAAGTGCATATATATATGGATTCCCTCTGCAGCTGCGTGAGTCGAAGACGAGATTCAAGCAAGACGATCTATAGAAAATTAGCATGTGTTGGTTAAGAAATATCTTCAAAAAGCCTAAGTATGGACCTACCCCCGAGGTGTAAGTTGGTATTTGGGTAGAAAATGGGCGGGTAGCGTCAGTTAAACTAGACTGTTTATGTGTTGACCATGTAATCTATATAAATAATTAATAAAAGCCTCGCGTGTATCGCACTTAGTCCAAAAAAAAAAAAATATATAAAATAAATATCAAATTATACTTATTTTATTTTTAGTCAAAGCATCTATTCAATTTTGAATCAAGTTCACCCAAACCTCACAAAAAAATCATAAGATAATAAAAAAGTAAATTAATTATATTAATTATATATTAATTATTATAATTTTAACAAATTACATTGTTTATTAAATATTTATATTCTATATTATATATATATATATATAAGAATCCTGAACTTAACAAAAATTGAATTCTATTTCAAATTCTACCTCTCAATGGACAAGATCAATTATTAAGAATAATATTATATGAATTACTATTACCAGAGGTAATAATATTATATGTATAACAAAAAAAAAAAAAACTCTTTCCTGATTACCCAGATTCGCCTAAAATCCGCAGTAATCAGCTAGGAGTTTGCCCAAAGGCCCCACCCGCCATGGCAACACACAGCAGCAGCACTCCCAGGAGCAAGGGCTCGCCTGCCTCCACCCAGCAACAGCCCCCAGCGCCCAAAACCCAGCAAAAACATAAGCAAAAACAGCAGCCAACAGCACCCGAAGCAGGTAGCAGCCAGCCACCCGGCTGGGAAGCCACCATAGAGGAGGGGGTAGAGGCCTCCTTCGACTGGACGGCCGACACCCGTATGGAAACAGAGGAACTACTGCGGGCACCCACCCCGCCCACCTTTGGCGACTCTGACGAGGACCCAGCGCTTACAGATCCAGAGAGCGAGGCAGAGGACGCCTCGCCCACCCAGCACCAACCATCCAAGCCGGCCAGACACCCCTATGGGCCGCCCACAAACTGGCGCACCCAATACGGCCGTTCCCGCTTCAAAACGGCCATCCAGGTGGAAAACCTGGCTGGCTCCATGGAGGAAAAACTCAATGCAGTCAAAGAAACAGTCTCTCAACTTGACTCCTACATAGGCGCCCGTGTGGCGCAGCAACAGGGGGCAAAATTGATCGTCGTATCATTTGCCAATCAAAAAGATGCACAAAAAGCATGCAAATTACAAATCCAAGAAAATAACGACCACCGTATGACCATCCTAGCCGATCTTGACCTAAAAGAGGCCAAAAGCAAGTCAATCCGTATCTGGGACATCCCCCTTAACACCAATAAACAAGAGATCAGACAAAAACTCACCCAAATCGAGCAAATTAAGAACCTCAAAATGAATACGGCTGGCATGTGGCAATGCGCACTAGTCGAATTTGCAGAACAGAAAGATTACAACAAAATCAGCAGAAGATGGAGCATCCCATTCAAGGGAGAACTCCTGAGAATATATCCTTTCCTGAAAACATGTGAAACCAAACAAGCACGAGACAAATACACCTTGAGACTCACCAACCTTCCCCCTGAAACCACAGGGTATGACTTGCGTGACATAATCAGCACCACCAAGGCAGCAATCTGTCATATTCCCCATAACCGAAACTATATCAAGAAACGGTTTGCCTTCCTCAGTTTCACAACAGCAGAAGCCAAGATGCAAGCCAAGAATCATGAGGTCTTCCTGGGAGAAACACTCCTCAACTGGCATGAAGTAGAAGAAAAACTTTGCGCAATCTGCTGCGCCGCAGACCATCTGGCAGCAAACTGCACAATTAAAGCAAAGCGTCAAGAAAAGCAACAAATGCTGAAAGACAAAGCAAAAAGGTACAACTTACTCTACCAAAAATTTAAACCAGCAGGCACAGCAAACATCAGAAGAATGGCACCCAAACCAACCACCAAACCAGCCAATCAAGACCGCTTAAGAGCTTGGGAACAATTCAACAAGACCTCTAACAGATTCGGAAAGAAAGGAACATTTGCTCAAATAGCCAAACAATCTCCTGGCAGGAGCTCAAACCTGGCGGCAAATAATCCAGCAGCAATGATAAACCTTCAGTCATCACTAACAAAGGTACTCAGAACGGTACAAACAATTGGCGCAGAGCTCAAGGAAATCAAAG